AAGGAGAAATTTGTTTCAAATTCAACAAAATGAACAGCAAATAACTTTAAGAATGCAGGCGCATTCGCTTATTTAGCATTTTTTTAATGTTTGATCTTAACTTCCAGGCATAGCACATACTCTAATCATGTATGTTTATAGTTATGTCAAATAAGAATACTTTGCAAAAAAATTCAATGATTTGAGCATAGGAACAAAAAAGGCTTAATTTTAGCTGCAATTGCCCCAAACATGAGAGCAACAAGTTGATAATTTTTTCTACTATTTTTAACTAAATCTATATTCATTGATAAAATTTAAAATTGACTCAAAAATCTTTTAACATTTTAAAACTATGAAGAGTAAAAAAGTTTGACCCCCCCTCCTCTCAATTTGAGGGATTTACTCATTTTTCTCAAACATTAAAAAATCACTTTTTTTAAATATCAAAATATCGTATTGTGATATAACATAAACCAATATTATTAATATATACAATATTTAACTAAATAATTTTAAGATCTTTCTTTGTAGCGTTTTTTGAAGTCTTTGCCAGTTTCTCTGCATTAACATAATTACAAATACATAAATTTATAAAAAAGTACTACCTACACATTAACAACTGTTATCAGGTTATTTTCCTTTAATTCGTAATAAATAAAGGTTATCTTCCTTTAATTCGTAAAGATTCTAATAGTCACATGCTTGGCCTGGGCATTTACATTCGTAAGAATTCACCCATTTGTTGGGAAACTAGGTTTGAATCCACAGACTACTCTTTTATGTGCTTTCGTTTAGTACCACTTGACTCTATCAGCTTTTTCTTTGTTCTATATTGCTCTCCTTCATCTCAAGACTGCACTCTTCTTGATGTTAATTCTGATCATTTTGACTAAGCCCCTCTCTCTTTATTCATCAGCCAATATTGCTGTTGTAGGTGACTTAAATGCTCATCACACTGAAAGACTTGGCTCAAGTGTCAGTGACTTGGCAGGTATTAAAACCCACAACTTTTGCCTCTCTCAATCCCTAACTCAAATAGTCAACATTCCAACTCGCTTTCCAGACAACCCGAACCATTTACCATTTACTACTTAACTCATGTCTTGTTTCTGACCCTAGTCAGTGCTCAGTTTCTCCACATTCACCCTTAGGTGCCTTCTTGTCATGATAAGAAGCTAAAACTATTATATCATTCTTCTTTATCATCAAAATCATCCTATCATCGTACATCTTACAACTACCTTGGAGCTGATTGGGACCCTTTCCGTGATTTTCTTCATGGTGGTCCTTGGGTAGAAATCTTTCGTCTTCCTGTTGAAAAATGTGCTTCTTACATAAATTCGTTGATTCAGGCTGGCATGGAATCCTTTATTCCCTCTTGACGGTTCTAGTTCAAGCCTCATTTTTCTTCATGGTTTTCCAGACATTGTGCTGCTGCAATTGCCAATGGAAACTGTTACTTCCGTATCTATCAACAAAACAATCTTCCAGAAAACAGACGTCTGTTTGTTACTGCTAGGAACCATTGTAAAAAGGTTTTCTTTAAAGCCATAGCCTGCTATTATCAGGTCATGAAATCTTGTATTTCATCACAAAAATATGGCTCTCGTGACTATGGTAGAATCTTTAATAGTATCAATAATAAGGGCAAGTCTGTAATTCCATCTCTTTTGTACAATTCAGACATTGTCATATATATATATATATATATTATATTTATGTATATAATATATATATATATATATATATAAATATATATATATATATATATATAAATATATATATATATATATATATATATATATATATATATATATATATATATATATTATTTTTACAAAAAAACATTAAAACAGTTGAAAAGTTTATTATGTCTTTCAAAAGAAATAGGAAATAACAAAAGAATAGATTAAAAAGATACACAATATGTATAAAAAATATCAGCTGAACAGAAAGTGTCATTTGTACATGGTTAACCTGTTTATTCATACCAGGTTTTAACCATTCTATAAACATACTTACTTTAAGCTTTAGCTCAAATTTGTTAGATGCCAAATCTAACACAGAAACACACTTTCAATTAGTTTGCATGAAACAAATTTGGTCGGCATGGAGATGCTTATAGATGTGAGACTTTTTGTCTCTTCATGTTCAAGTATCAGGGTCTTGAGATGGCGAGTAGTTTCGCCTATATAATAGGAATTATATCCTGCGCATACAAATTTATACACCATGAACGATTTGAACTCTTGAGGAATAGGATCTTTAGTCGAAAAGAATATAGAACTTTTCAGTGAGGCAAATACTTGTTTAATATTTACTGATCTGCAATATCTTTTAGCAATTAAATTCAGTCTTTATATAGTTGTCATAATTTTCTTAAAAACGAAAGTTTAAGATAAAACAAAGGTTCTTTGATTTTTGATTGTGGTGGAGGATTTGAATTTATCTTGTTTAAATAGAAGTTATAATAATAACAGTAAATAAAGGGAACAGGGTCATCATAAAGATAAAGATCTATACGTAAATGGTATTTATACAATTAATAATGATAAAACAAAATTCAAACAACTTAAGAATGATTTTGCAATAAATAGAGAAATACAATTTCAAAATTTTTTGAGGAAACTAAAAGCAAGTCTTTTCAATGACTCCACATATAACAAAATTTAACTGTCTGGATCCCATTCTGCTTGTATCTATGGACTTCCAAAGATGCATAAATTCAGTTTTTCTGAGACTACCCTAAACTTAAGATCTTTTGTATCATCTATTAAAACCTATAACTACCAACTAGCCAAATTTCTTAGATATTTATTGTTTCCATTAATAAACACTAAATTTTGTACAAAAGGTTCATATTCCTTCATTAAAGAAACTTTTCATGTCGGTTCCCACAAATGTTTTTTAGTACCATACAATGTAACAGGCTTATACATCAATGTTCCGCTTCAAGAAACCATTGAAATTAAAATCAATTTAATTTTGCTCCATAATAAAAACATTAAAATTACTAAAACTTATTTAAAAAAACTATCCCAATTCGCCACTTGGCAAACACATTTTCTTTTTAAAGAACAAACTTATGATCAAATCGATGGTGTAGCTATAGGTTCTCCACTGGTACCTGTTCTTGCTTATTTGTTTATGGGTCATTTTGAAAATAAATGGATCAAAAATTTCAATGATGTAAAAACCAGTTTTCTATAAAAGATATGTTGATGACATTTGTGCTGCTTTCCAGTCTGAAAATGATGCACATCTTTTTCTTAGATATATAAATAGTAGACACAATTATATTTCTTTTATTAGGTAATAAGAAGTAAATTCAAAAATATGTTTTTTAGACGTAACTCTACACAAAACTAATTCCTCAGTTACCACTACAGTTTTTCATAAAAAAAACCTATTCTGGTATTCACACTAATTTTATAGTTTTCTCCATTTTCATGCAGAGTTTGTCTAATCAAATGCTTAATCGATATAATTAAAATTAATAGTTTAAAATTAATAGTACTAAACTTAGGTTTCACTCTGACATAATCGATTTTTTCGAATCAATTTTTTTCTTCTAAAGATCCTATTCCTCAAGAGTTTAAATTGTTCGTGGTGTATAAATTTGTATGTGCTGGATGTAATTTCTGTTATATAGGTGAAACTGCTAGCCATCTCAAGACCCATATATCTGAACATTACAATAAAGACAAAAAGTGTCACATCTGTATACATCTCCATGCCGATGAAAATTTTTTTCATGCAAATAAATGATAAGTGTTTTTCTGTGTTAGATTCTGCATCTAAAACTTAAAGTAAGTATGTTTATAGAATCGTTATAACCTGGTATTAATACACAGGTAACTATGTACAAATGAAACTTTCGGTTTAGCTGCTATTTTTATACATGTTGCATATCTTTTTAATATATTCTTTTGTTATTTCCTATTTTTTTTGTATGATAAATTTTATTGTATTTTTGTAATTATACTACTATTAGTTTGTACAAGAATAATTATATTTTGTATTTTTTTTTTTAAATACCTTTATATGTATAATTAATTTTTTTTTTTTTTTAATTCAATACATATATTCTGAAATAAGTTGTAAAATTTCAAGAACTTTTACAAATAGTACAAGTTCTAATCTAAATTAAGAACCTGCAACATAACAATAGAAGAGATAATAATAATAACAACTTGAAAAATGCACTTTTTTATATTTAGTTAAAAAACCATAGTTTTTATGCAATTAAATCTAAAATAATAATTGCTGTATGAAATGGTTTTTATATAGTTTTGCTACTTTTAAGACCCACAATACTCTGAAGACCCATTCTTTTGAAAAACTTTTTTTTTTAATATTAGGGACTTGTTAAAAAGTAAAGTTAATTGAGCTGTACTTAAAACGCATAATTGAAAATGCAATTTTGAACTTAGTTTCCTGACCACAAATCACAAAATCAAAGGGTAGCCCAAATAAAATTCAAATATATTTTTTTACAATTTTGAAATACTCTAATATATATATATTTAGATCTTAAACAGATTGGCACAACTAAAATTATTAATATAGATCCTACAATAATGATTTTAAACCATATGCATTCCTCGATTAATTCTGTCTTGTTTTTTACTATTTTATTTTCATTTCTTTTACATACTTTAATACCTAATTTGTTTAATGTTTACCTAATGTTTAATGTTGGACATTTTCTCTTTGTGCTCTTAAGCATCGATATATATATATATATATATATATATATATATATATATATATATATATATATATATATATATATATTAAAGTATGTATATATATACATACTTTAATACCTAATTTGTTAAATGTTTACCTGGTGTTTAATGTTGGACATTTTCCCTTTGTGCACTTAACCATTGATATATATATATATATATATATATATATATATATATATATATATATATATATATATATATATATATATATATATATATATATATATATATATATATATATATATATATATATATATATTTAAGATGAATGATTCTATGAAGTCAAAACTTGCAGAATGTTTTTCTGAAAATTGGAAAGAATTGGCTAATTTTTTTTCTTTACAAAAGAATAAAGTTGATCAAATTGATAAGGAACAAATAGAACCATTAGCAAAAGCAAATCGTGTACTTGATTATTGGATTACACTGTGTCCTCATACGTACAATGTCAATAGCATAAAAAAGAAGTTAAGAAGCATTGGGCTGAAAGACATAATTAGTTATGTATTTGGAGAAGGTTTGCATTCAAAGTTCATATAAATATTATTTTTACTGTTATTATGACCAGTAGATTTTGAATAACAGAGTTTTAGTTTTAATATTTTATTCACCTTTTTTTTTACTTCTATATGAAGTTTTACGTATAAATATATGTATTTGTAACAATAATAATTTTATAAATAATAAAAATAATAATGATAAAATAAATATAATGAGATAAAAAACTAATTAATATTTATTGTTTAAATGAACCTATATTTAATACCTCTGAACTTTAATGAAACTTTAATGAACCTATATTTAATACTTTTTTATTGTTTATATTAATATATTAATATAAACAATAAAAAAAGAAGCATTGAATAATAAATTTTGTCAATAAGTATTTTTTAGTTTTTGGTTTCATTATGTTTATTTTATTATTATTATTTATATTATAATTACTTTTATTATTATTATTATAATTATTATTTTTATTATAATTAGTGTTTTTTTTTTAATTACACAAGAGTTGTTAAATGAAAAGTTATCATATAAAAAAATTATTTTTAGATGTTCTCTATTTAAAAAAATCCAGAAGTATTTATAAAAAATTTTTCTTTTTTGCGTTTGTGAAAATTTGTTACGTGCAAATGTTTATAGAATATATTATAATACTAACCTGGACTGAGCTGGTTCTCTTGAACTTAGTTTTTTTCAGTTTTATTTTATTCATAACACAACTAACTTTAACTTATGAAATACTTCTCCAATAGAAGTGAAAATTTGTACCTTAATATTTCTTAGTGAGAGAAATTCAAAAATAGTTTCAAAAACACTAAAAATTTAAAGCTTCTATATAAAAGTTAAGTTTCAAAATGGAGTAAGACTTTTTTCTAAGTTTTTTGATGCCCCCTTTATAAAATATTTTTCTTGAGATGCCTAATAAAAATAATTCTTAGAATTTTTTTTAATGTTCTATGTGTAACAAATGCCATCATACAAAAAACTGCAAAGGTTTTTTTTTTAAATCAGGTTTTTTCTGTTTAGAGTTTAATTTTACTAAACCCAAAAAATATCATATTTACTAAAATAAACCATGGAAATAATTAAATTGTTGAAAAAAAAGTTAAAATAAGTCAATCAGAACTAACAATCTTTAACAGTTTCATAAAAATTTAGTTCTGGTTTAAAAGTTTGCCCTGCTTTCTATAATGCTTTGGTGATCATTTCACTAATTTTGTATTGCCTTCCTGTTGGAATATTAATCATTAAGAATAAGTTTGATGATGGAACCCACTCATCATCTCAAAAACGCTAACAATATAACCTTGAAGGTTTCAATGGATGCATGAGTATAATTTGAAAGTCTTTATTTTCAACATTAATATCCTCAACTAGTCTGATCCATAGATTGTTACCATATCATCAGCCGAGAACCAAGATGCTGTATATCCTTTTTTTGTTTTCAAGAAAATTAAGTTTTGAAATTTAATTTGTTAAGACTTTCTGCCAGTATTTACTACTTATTTTTTAAATATTTTTAAAAGTTGTATCATTCTTGAAACTAGCTTTATTGGACACATACCCAATTAATTTTGAACATATATTAATAATAAACAGAAAAAACGCAAAATGTGGACATTTGCAAACGCAAAATGTGGACAAAACACAAAATGTGGACAACTCTTGGTTCTCAGCTGATGATATATCAAACATACTAATACTCCCATTTTTATATTAAACAAGCATTCTTCAATAATCTCATCAGTTTGAAAATTCAAAGCAATTGAGTACTCTAGTTGTTCAGGAACAACTTTACCTCCAATTTTTGTATTACTTCTTGGAATGAAAGTGAAAGTGTGATTGCTGCAAGTGCCTGGTAATGTTTTTGCAGTCGCATATCTTTGCTTCATTTTACTTCGGATTATCTTGTTTTTATAACTTATTTATTAGAGTATTAACAAAGCTACTTGTGATTTTTTTTGACATACTAGCTCTCCTATTGTTTGTAATCTATAAAATAATAACCATCTTCATCAATATCCTTTTGAGAGTATAACTCATTTTCAAGATGTCTTTATATAGAATCTTTTGGACATAAAACGCAACAGTGTATCATGCAATTTTAGTTAGCCCTACTACAAACAAGTATATCAATATGTTAGTGATAATCCTTCAATAATTTAACTGCCCTTAACATTTTGATACTATAAAAATATATTATGCATTACAACTACAAGTACTTCTACTGAAATGCACTACTTTAAGCTTTACCTTCAACTTCCATAGATATTTTGTTGAAGAAATAATCTTGGATTAACTGGTTAGGATCTATATTTTAAGAATTTTTTCATTAATAATTTCTTTTTAATGACAGCAACTCTTAAGTGACTATTCGAGGCATGCATTCTGCGAGGACTTATATTCATAGCCATCAAAAAAGAATTGAGATTTTTTTTAACAATTTGTTTTTAGTAAGTTCATTATATTTATCTTCATAAATCTGGCTGCAATTCAATTCTTCTGGTCCATCATCCTTAATTGGCATCAATTTAATTGAACATAATGGACATATATTTTCTCCAGGAATAACATTAATACCAATGTTTTTAAATTTACCAGCAAGTTGTAAATTAATTTCTTTACATCCTCCTAAAAACACGATTGATGATTACTACTTTAGTGACAGGCTTGGACAGGAATGGTGAAATTATTTTATTTTTAGACAATTTAACCACTATTGTTTTAATGACAAACATTCCAGAAATGCGCTGAATGTAGAAACGCAAAGCTAAACTTAAACTTGGAAAAAAAGTTTAAAAAAAAAACTAACGAAAAAAAAAATCCTCACAAAAAAAGAAAGGAAAAAAAAATTATTACAAAAAAGAAATTATATAATCACTAAAGTAAAAAAAAGAATTAAACTCGAAGCAAAACATTTTGTTTCGTATTTAACCAAGTCTGCAATAAATGTTATTAATACTTATTTTTTAAAGGTTTTATTAAAGTTACGCAAAGCGCTTTTAAATCGCTTTCAAATTAAGTAACAAATTACTTGTAATGATTGTTTAATAAATTTTATCAAATTTGTTAAAAAGTGTTGTATTTAATATTTTAAAATAGTATCAACATTTATTTTTTTTGAAAATTGCAACAACAAAAAAAACTATTAAAAAAAATATCGTAGTCTTTTTTAAATAGTAATTTTTAATAATTTTATGCTCTAATTAGTGAGTTTAGTTAAAAAAAGGTTTTAAGTTTTTTGTTCGTTAAAATAAAAAGAAAAAATGCGCTTTGTATAATTAAAAGAAATTGTCAGCAAGAAATTTAATTTCATTTTAATTACAACTTTATTATTAATCACTTCACGAAATAAATTTAAAAGTTATTATTAAAGATTAAAACTCATTCATTCCTTTAGTAATTAAAAAAAAAAAACTTTCAAAAAATATGCTTTTTAAAAGATTTTTGTTGATTAATATTAAGATTTTTATATAACATTTTTTATTAATTAACATATTATTTATGTAAACAATCATTATTATCAATTTTATGGTTTTATTTAAAGCCTTTGCGTATAATAAAAACTTTAGAAAAGATCAACCATTAAAAGTTATTCATAACTTAACACTTTTTTTATTGCATTTAAATTGTTAAAACATCAAAATAGCTATGGTCAAAAAAAAACAATATTAGCGCGGTCAGTTACAGAGTGCCATTGCACGCCATTCCCGTCCAAGCCTGTAGTGAGTATTTTGCGTAAGGAGTTAAACACTAAAATTTAGAGGAAATTTTTTTTTAAATTACAAACCATCTGAGCCTGAGTTGGCATGGTGCCTAGCATAAATTGATTTGAGCTGGATTAACTCAAAACTCATATCTTGTATGTATGTCAAATGGCCTCTGTAACACAAGCAGCTACAATAATAAAATCAGTGCATTTTTATTAAGATATAAAATAAATAAGGTAAATAATGAATATGCATTATAAGATATATATATATATATATATATATATATATATATATATATATATATATATATATATATATATATATATATATATATATATAATCTCTTTATAATAATACTAGACTTAATAGTAGTAGTAGTAGTGCGCTTTTGAGCCTGTTTGACACGATACTCTTGGCAACCATTGCATCCGAGGTAGTGACGAGAAAGAGTCTTACCTTTGCTTTATAAGAAAACGCGAGCAAACGTGAAACTCATATTGTACGTACATAAACTTCATGTTATGTAATGTTAAAACATGCTTAAACATATATCAAGTTCAACAGTTTGATTTTCACTTAAGAACTACATTTCGTCAACCTTTGCTTAATTTCTAATCTTTTGTGTTTTTATCCATTAAAAGACAATTTTTATATAATTTGAAATCTTCAAGATACTACGTGACAGCGTAGTATAGTGGTTAGCGCGCTGGGCTTCTGACCAAGTTAGCCGTGGTTCAAGTCCTACCATCGGCGACCTTCTTTTTTATTTTTTTTGCGCATGTGTCATTATTGAGATACTTATGTTATTTTAGTTAAACTTTTCAAGTTTATTTACAACTAAATTGAGCAAGGAAAATTAGTAAAAAACATGTTTATATATAGAATATAAAATCTATATAACTTTTGATTTGCATTTTAAACAACAAAATCGCGTGCTAAGCTGATGAACTTGCCACACGGCGAGCATAACTTTTTTTAAAAATGGTAAGGGGGCTTAAAAAGTATATTTTTATTTAGAACATAATTAAAGATTTTAATTTTATATGTACACTAAATTATTTTATAAAATTTATTGTTTCTAAAAATAATTAAAAGTTAAACTATTTAATATTAGCATAATACCGATTTCTAATCTTTTGCATTTATATCCGTTAAAAACAATTTTTATATAATTTTTTTATATCATTTAAACAATTTTTATATAAGTTCTTAGTGCGTCAGCGTAGTCAAGTGGTTAGCGCGCTGGGCTTCGGAACATAGCTGCCGTGGTTCGAGTCCTACGTTGGCGACTACTGTTTTA